TGGGGTTCTCTTAGCAAGTTTCTTCGGGGTGGGTGGGTTGCCACGGCATTCCTCTGTGGCTGTCACTTGCCCAAGGGCACTTAGTGCTTTTCCATGGCTGAGCCAGGATTCGAACCGTGGTCCCCCAGAGTCCTAGCCCAACGCTCAAACCATTGCACCACTCTGGCCTTCTCTCCAAGGTGTTGCAAGATCCCTTTGAATACTCATTTTCCAGACTAACAGGGCTATTACCACAAAAGGGGTTACTGAGTCGGCGTCGTGTAGTGGTTTGAGTGTTGGACTAGGACTCTAGAGACCAAGGTTCAATCCTTCCTTGCTTGAACATAAAAAACATTGGGTGACCCTGGGCACACTCTCTCAGCCTTAGGGGAAGGCCATGGCAAACATCCTCTGAAGAAACCTTGCCCAGAAAACCTCATGATAGGGTCGCTTTAGGGTCGCCATAAATCAGACACCACCTGAAGGCATGCAACACAAGCAACCTTGGGCAAGTCACACTGTCTCAGGCTCAGAGGATGGCAATGGCAAACCCACTCTGAAGAAACCTTGCCAAGAAAAAACTCATGATAGGCCACTTTAGGGTCGCCATAAGTCGGAAACGGCCTGAAGGCAAGCAACCTTGGGCAAGTCACACTCTCTCAGCCTCAGAGGAAGGCAATGGCAAACCCCATCTGAAGAAACTGTGCCAAGAAAACCCAGTGATAGGTTCGCTTTAGGGTCGCCATAAGTGGGAAACAACAACCACGAGCGGAGCCGAACTTACCGGGCTGGGCCCAGCCCCACGCCCAGCCGGCGTCGGTCAGCACCACCAACAGCGGCAGCCACAGCGACGCCATCACCATCTCGGCTCCTTCCCCTCGGCCTTGGCACTACCGCGCATGCGTCGTAGCTCAGGAGGCCTCTGATTGGTCCGCCCGAACTCCAGAAGGCGGTCCGGTCTGGTGTCACTTAGCGAAGCGATGGAGCGCCGCCATCTTGTCCAGCGCCTCTGTCGCTGTTCCTATTTCGCTGTTTCATGTAAGCCCAAGCCATTTGTCTAACAAGACAATGGGAATGGAAGCCACGCCCTCCATTCTGTGTCGAGCATTCCTATTGGTTTGTTGGATCCTTTCCGGTCATTGGCTCCTCCTGCGGGGGGGAAAAAAAGCCGGGACTAAAGGGAATCAAACTATGACGTGCAGCCAATAGGGTTGCGTTGAGTGTAATAACGGTCGTTCTCTCGGAACGTTGGGGGTTTTCTTGGCAAGTTTCCTCAGAGGGGGCCTTGGGCATCGTCTGAGGCTGAGAGAGTGTGACATGGCTGGTTGAGGCGGGATTCGAACCCAGGTCTCGGAGTCCTAGTCCAACGCATAAACCACTACGCCGCACTGGCTCTCTTTAGTCCATAATACTAATTAATAATGATGGACTAAAGAGAGACAGTGTGGCATACTGATTAGTGCGTTGGACTGCGACTCTGAGATAGCATTTTTGTATGCCTTTAATTGTGCTGAGTCCCAAACTGTTATTATTGTTGTTGATGTTGTTATGTATTTGTAGCCCACCTTTTTCCCAACACTGGGACTAAATAATAATAATAACAACAACTATTTTTTTATTTATTTATATCCCACCACTTTCCCAAAACGGACTAAATTACTATTATTATTATTATTATTAAAATTATTGTTATGTATTTATATCTATCTGATATATCAGACCCATCCATCTGATCTGGATTTCTAGACTGATGACAATTGACTATTTGAGGGAACCCTGGGAATTGTAGTTTATTGTGGCACCAGAGCTTTCTGACAGAGAAGGCTAAATATCTCACAAAACTACAGTTCCCTGGATTCCCTAGCATTGAGCCAGGGCGGTTAAAGCGGCCTCAAACTGGATTATTTCTGCAGTGTGTTTTGGATTGTACCCTTTGCCCTTTCCTAGCTGTATCCATAAATGTGAATATATTTAAAATGTGAGGCATTGGAAAAAAGAGGAAGATCGCATTCCAGGAGGACAGACTCAATCAAAGAAACCACAACCATGAATCTGGAGGAGTTAAGAAAAGGGGGACTTGGAGGTCTCTCATTCATAGGGTTGCCATGGGTCAAGGTCTACTCGAAGGTGATTAACAACAAATACATAAATCAAACATCTTTCTAAGCCTTGGCCTTCCTTTGAGGCTGAGAGAATGCATCATGCCCAAGGTTGCCCAGTGGGTTTCCACACAGCAGGGATTCGAATCCTGGTCTCCAGGTGTCCTAGTCCAACTGCCTAACTACTGCACTATATTGGCTTTTGGTACAATAATACATTGCATCATACGTATATTGAAGTACATATTGCATAGGAACCAGATGGGCAGGGCAGCCATGAAAGAACTAGACAAGATCTTAAAGAGTAAAGATATACAACTGAACACTGAAGTCAGAATCGTCCAAGCCTTTGTATTTCATCATTTTTATGTATGGATGTAAGAGCTGGACATGAATAAAGCAGATAGGAAGAGAATCAACTCCTTTAAGATGTGGTGCTGGAGAAGAGTGCTGAAGATACATACCATGGACAGCTAAAAAGACAAACAAATGGGTCATTGAACAGATCAAGCCTGAAATCTCCCTGGAAGCCAAGATAACTAATTTGAGCTGTTATACTTTGGCCACATCATGAGAAGGAATTAATCCCTGGAAAAGACAATAATGCTAGGAAAGGTGGAGGGGAGTAGAAAGAAAGGAAGGCGGCATATTTGAGGGCTAGAATCGCTTAAAGAGGAGATGGACATGAAATTACAAGACTTAAGCAGAGGATCAGGGGTCTTCTTGAAGATGTCTTATCCACAGGGTCACCATGAGTCTAATTAATTAAAAACTAATTGTTGTAAGCCGCCCCGATTGCTCTGCAGAGGGGCGGGATATAAACAAATATTATTATTATTATGAATCAAAGCCAAGTCGAAGGCAATTGACAATATTTTTTTTTCATAACAAATAGATGGGTGAACTCTATTAAGGAGGCCACAAGTATGAATTTGCATACTTGCTGTAATTTTAACTGTTGTAAGCTGCCCTGATTGTTTGACAGAGGGGCAGGGTATAAATAAATTTTATCATTATTATTATTTATTATTAACTTAGAAGAATAGTGGAGGGCAGGGAGTCTTGAAGACGTCTCATCCAAGGGTCGCCATGAGTCGTGGCCGACTTGAGGGCAGTTAACAACGGAGGAGGAAAAGTCTAAATGAAGCAGAGGTTGTGCCCTGTGTATAAATTCTACATTATTGTTATTCTGTGCCTTCAAGTCATTTTCAAGTTATGGTGACCGAAAGGGTTTTCTTGGCAAGAGTTGTTCATCACAGGAGAGTTTGTCTTTGCCTTCCTTCTGAGGCTGAGAGAGTGGCTCGCCCAAGGTCTGCCAGTGGATTTCCATGGCTGAGCGTGGATTCGAATCCTATCGCCACAAAGGAGGAGAAGGCACCACAAAACGTAGGGCATTAAAGGAAAATGTAGGACATTACAAAATAAAAGTTGCCAGCTCTCATCTAATTATAAATCCATGATTCCTAGTCATGCTCGAAATGGAGGACATTTTGGATTTCCTCCTGGACAGGCTGACCAGACGTCCTCCTTTTCCAGGACACGTCCTACATTTCAAACCTTCTATCCAGGAGGAATCCCAAAATGTCCTCCATTTGGAGCAGGAGTAAGAAGCATGGATTATATATTTATATGAATGCTTTTAGCTTTTATTTGGTCACGTCCTCCATTGTTCTTGAGCGTCCTCCATTTTGCGCTGCCTTGTCTTCCTTCTTTGCGGTTATGACATCTGGTCACCCTGCTCCTGGACATAAGGCCATTACAAAATAATGGCTAGAAACCCTCATATAAATCCATGCTTCTTAACCATGCTCAAAATGGAGGACATTTTGGGATTTCTCCCGGAAAGAAACCCGAAATGGAGGGCATGCCCGGGAAAAGGAGGACCTCTGTTCACTCTGGCCCTGACCTCCCAGACTCCTAGTTCTCAAACCACTAGGCCACGCGGGCTGTACTTTATTAGCCGTTGCGTAGTAGCACAGGATTTGGACTTCAACTCCCAGACGCCCCAAACAGTTTGGCCAACGGCCAGGAATTCTGGGAGTTGAAGTCTAAAACATGTGGAGGGCCAAAGTGGAGAGGGGAATCACCGCTCTATGGTATTAGCAGCCTCCAGCTCGCCGGAAGTTCTGCGTCGCCTCATAGGGCCTACTTCCGGGCCCGTCTAGCCTCCCTCCCACTCTGTGGTCAGCTGGGAGCGGCCTGTGCGACAATAATAGCAGCATCGGCAGCATCATGGCTGGCATCAAAGGTAGCCTCGTTGTGGCGGTTTCAAGGGGCGGGAAGGAGGGAGCCGAGGAGGGGGGGAGATCCGATGCCGAGCCAGGGCTCTCGGGGAAGGAGGCCGCTCGGCCACTCTGACGGCGGCCAGGTACTGCGACGGTGTTTTGGGGCCTGCTTTGTTCCCATGGCAACGGAGGAGGAGGAGGAAGATGAGCAGGCCGCTTTCCTCGGCCTTCCTGGGCCCCCTCAGGCTCCCCGCTGAATTTGAGAGGCTCCCTTAGGTTTCAACCACGAAGGCCCCAAACACCCTGCAGAAATAACCCAGTTTGAGACCGCGTTAACTGCCCTGGCTCAGTGCTAGGGAATCCTGGGAATTGTAATTTATTGAGGCACCAGCGTCCTCTCTGACAGAGAAGTCTCAAAGTCTCGCAAAGCTACAGTTCCCAGGATTCCCTAGCACTGGGCCAGGGCAGTTAAAGCGGTCTCAAACTGGATTATTTCTGCAGAGTGTTTTGGACCGAAGCCTTAGGGTTGCATTCTTAAAAATAAAAATAAAGTTTAATCTTTCAGTCTTTGATTGTCAGGGGTAGTTAGAGGTGAGTGTCCATATGAGGACACACTATATCTTTGTTGAGAGAGGGGAGGGGGGGCTTTCCAGCATTTTTTGAGATTAAATGGTACAGATGATCTCAAAGGAACTCTAAAAAAGCAGTTGGTAAGAAAGCTAACATAGGGCCAAGACATGCTGCAGAAATTACCCAGTTTGAGACCGCTTTAACTGCCCTGGCTCAGTGCTAGGGAATTCTGGGAACTCTAGTTTTATGAGACGTTGAGCCTTCTCTGTCTCAGAGCTTTGATGCCACAAAAACCTACAATTCCCAGGATTCCCTAGCATTGAGCCAGGCCAGTGAAAGCAATCTCAAACAGGATTATTTCAGCAGTGTGTTTTGAACCTTTAAAAGAGTCAAGGCTATGGAACACCCTTAAAGACTCTACATCTGATAATCCTGATGAGGAATCTGTATTTGGAGAAACAGAATGGTTCCCAATTGGCAAAGGCTGCATACTGTCACTATTTGTTGTACACCTGAAGTGAGAACAAGAGCACCATCATCATCATATTCTTTTTCTCCTGTATGATTTTTGACATTTTGGTTGATGTGTACCTTCAAATCTTTTTCAACTTATGCTGACACTAAGGCAAAAACCTATCATGGGGTTTTTGTGGCAAGTTTCTTCAGAGGGGGTTTGCCTTTGCCATTGCCATCCTCTGAGGCTGAGAGAGTGTGACTTGCCCAGAATCACCCAGTGGGTTTCATGACCAAGTGATGAATCAAACCTTGGTCTCCAGAATTGTAGTTCAGCACTCGAACCACTACTTCAGGCTGGCTCTCTATGTGTTTTTATTTCAAAAGTGGTTGAATTTCAAGGTTGTGGGTGAGGGGAGTAGAAACAGTACTGCCTTGTATTGTATTGTATTGTTCTTTTCTTTTCTGCACAGGAGCAAAATGTTCAGATATTTTGGAACACTAATAATGGTTTTATTTTTGTTTTTTATAGCTTTAATCAGCCTGTCCTTTGGGGGAGCTGTTGGACTAATGTTCCTAATGCTTGGCTGTGCACTTCCACAGTACAAGTATGTATATTCTCATATATACTGTTTAGCTGTTGTCTTAGGGCCTTTGCAGACTGCCAGAAATAGTGCACATTAAATTGAGGCACTGCCCTGGCTCAGTGCTAGGGAATCATGGGAACAGTAGTTTATTGTGGCACCAGAGCTCTCTGACAGAGAAGGCTCAATGTCCCAGAAAAAAATACAATTCCCATGACTCCCTAGCATTAAGCCAGGGCAGTGCCTCAATTTAATGTGCACTATTTCTGGCAGTCTGCAAAGGCCTTTAGTTTACTTTCAATTTGCAAACTTTCTTTAATGTTTTGATGAAATAAACAAAACCAACACTGGTTATAGCCAAGGGCCACAGTCCTTTAAGGTTAGGAGAAAGGAAACAAAAACTAGCTATGCCTGGCCTTTGTGCAGACTGCCAGAAATGGTGCAAATTGAGTCCACTTTAAC